GCCCGCCCGCCCGCCCTGTCGGTGCCCGGTCCCGCCCCAGCCATGTCGGCCGTGTCGCGCAGACGCCCCGCGGCCGGTGCCGGGGGGGGGCCCGAGGGGGCGGCCGAGGGGGGAGCCCCCGCCGGAGCCCCCGCGCCCGGCGATGCGGAGCGGGGCATGGCGGCGCCGGCCCCGCCGCTCTGCCTGCGCCTCATGGCCGCCGCCTTCTACGGCCTCAGCTCCTTCCTCATCGTCGTGGTCAACAAGAGCGTCCTCACCACCTACGGGTACGGCCGGGCCGGCGGGACACCCCCCCCCCCCCCCCCCAACTCGGGGGATCGGCTTTGGGACTCCCCTCGGGGGCTCGGCACGGGGACTCTCCACGGAGTGGGCATCGCGGAGCCTCCCCCCGGGGGATGGACATTGGAACTCCCTCCCGGGGGATGGGCATGGGGACCCCACCGCGCACCCCTCCTCGTCCCTGGGGGCTGGGGATCCCCATGAACGCCGCCCTCGCCCTGGGGTCCTGCACCCCCTGACACCCCCTATGCACCCCCTAATGTGGGACTCTCTCCCCCTCCCCGTACCCTCTCTCCTCTCCACCAGGAGCCCACTGCACTGCCATCCTCTCCCTGCGTGTTCCGTTTTCCCCTGGGGACCCCGCGGCTCGGCTGGGCAGTACCTCCCATGGCTTTGAGCTCTCATGTTTGGGGGGACGGGGTTACACACACAGTGGGGTGTGTGGCCTCTGGGACCCCCGGCGTGGGTGCCCCCCTGATCTCTGCTCTCTGCCTGCAGGTTCCCGTCGTCGCTGTGTGTAGGGCTGGGCCAGGTGAGTAGGATGCCCCTGTCCCCCCCAAAACCTCCCATCTGGGGGGCTGTGGGGTAACCTCCCCCTCTCTTGTAGATGCTGGCGACGGTGGCCGTGCTCTGGGCCGGCAAAGCGCTGCGGGTGGTGAAGTTCCCCGACCTTGACAGACATGTCCCCCGGCGGGTAAGACCTCTCCCTGGGCACCCAGCTCCCCTCTCTGGGCACCTCTCCTCTGCCTCAGGGCCAGCCAGGGGTCTCTGCCCTGTCCCCTCTCTCCTGGTGGCACCATGGGCTGTTTGGCAGTGCAATGTCTGTGTCTGTGTTCCTGGGATCCTGGGGTTATGGAGTAACTCTGGGCTGAGGAGCTGGGACGTGTGTGTGTGTATGTGTGTGTGTGAACATTTCCATGGCGGGGTGGGAATAATTTCATATCTATATTTATCTGCTGAGGGTGCTCTGGGAGCTCCCCAGCTTCCTGCAGTTGCTCACTTAGCTTTATCCCTCTTATTTCTAGACATTTCCTCTACCTCTTCTGTATTTCGGGAACCAGATCACAGGACTGTTCAGCACAAAGAAACTGAAGTATGGATTTTTTTTATATGGTGGGGTGTGTTTAATGGGCTCCTTGTGGGGTCCCCAAGAACTCCAGCTGCTGCTGGGCCCTGGAGCTGTGCAGGGCTGTGGGTAACCCGGGTAGGAGCCACTCAGGGCGATGCTCTTCCTTCTCTGCCCACACCAAAATGTGCTACGTGCATGTTCTCAAATGCTTCCCGCAGGCAGGGAGGGACACAGGTCTGGCCCTCGCCCACCGTGGATGAGGTGTGAGGGTGTCTCTGGCGCTCTCACCTCTGACAGAGTCTGATAGAAGTGGTATCTTTTGGGGAGGAAAGTAATTCCACTTCCTCAAGAGAGCAATGCCATTTTCATAAGGGAACGGGCAGGCTTGCCCATGCTCTGTTCTCCAGAGCCTTTATCCCAGCACCCGCTCCGGAGTAGC